CATTGGTTGACACTAGGCTGAACATGAACCAGCAGTGTGCTCAGATGGTCAAGAAGGCCAATGGCATCCTGCCTTATATCAGAAATAGTGTTGCCATCAGGACCAGGGAAGTGATCATCCCTCTCTACTTAGCCCTGGTGAGGCTCCACCTTGAGTTCTGTGTTCAGGTTTGGGCCCCTCACTACAAAGAAAGACATTGAGGTGCGGGAGCGTGTTCGGAGAAGGGCAACAAAGCTGGTGAGTCTTATGGGGAGTGGCTGGGAACTTGTTTAGTCTAGAGACATTATTACTCTCTACAACTACCTGAAAGAAGACTGTATTGAGTTGGGCATCAACTTCTTCTATGTAATAAGCAATAGGACTAGAGGGAATGGCTAAATGTTGTTCCAGGGGAGATTCAGGTTAGACGTTAGAAAATACTTCTTCTCCAAGAGAGTGGTCAGGCGCTGGAACGGCCTGCACTGGAGGTGTTCAAGAAACATTCAGATGTTGTACTGAGCAACATGGTTTAGTGGGAAATACTGGTGATAAGCGGATGGTTAAACTGAATAATCTTAGAGGTCTTTTCCAACCTTGGTGATTCTATGATTCTGACAATTCTGTGCCATACTAAAGGATTTCAGGACTCCTGAAAGTCACATATATCTATATATTTCTCTATGTATCTCTCTCTGTATATCTAATAACATTGGCTCAAAAGTCTAAGGTTAGATTTTGCTCAGTGCATGACAGCTGCTCTATTTACTTCCAGTTATTGAACTGTCTGCAGCATACTCATTGCCTTGTGATCTCAATGGTTTTGAAGTTTTAATGACACAAAAATGGAGAACGCTGTTGACACTGGCACTTCTTGTTGACACCGAATGTGCCAAAATGAGGCACCTAGGTAGCACACTAGGTAGAAAGTACTACTCCAAGTAGAAAGGTAAAACCTGCTGGATTTTTAAAATGATCTTTTCTCTGCAGACTGATAGGCAAGAACTTTGATTGCCATATGTGTAAGAATACAGGACAATAGACACATCGAAGCTGGAATAACATAAGTGGGTAGGATAGCAACCCTTCATAGGAGAAAAACAGGAAAAGAGATAAAATGGAGCAATAAAAATCCAAGTGAAATAATAAAAAAAAACTTCTATAAAAAAGGAAAAAAAAAAAGGAAGATGTTACAAGAAGCTTATAAAGATGAGGGAGACAGTTTTTATACAGTCTGATAGTGATAAGACAAGAGGGAATGATTTTAAACTAAAAGAGGATAAATTCAGATTAAATGTTAGGCGGAAATTTTAATCAGAGGGTGGTGAGGCGCTGGAACAGGTTGCAGAGAAGTTGTGGATACTCCACCCTGGAGGTCCTCAAGGCCAGATTGGATGCGACCCTAAGCAGCCTGACCGTGTGGTGCAATCCTGCCCACAGCAGTGGGGTTGGAATAGGATAGTTCTTAAGGTCACATCCAACCCAAGCCATTCTATGACTGTATGATTCTACTATATATTTTCAGCAGAGAAAAACAGTAAGGCTCTGTATCATGTATTTTAGACAAGAGTTGTAGTGGTAGTACATTCTGAGTTCTACAGTGAATTTTCTCTTTTTATTTGTTTTCAATGTTTTTTGTCAGCTGACTACATTTTATTTGACTTTTTTTTTTTAAGATCATTGATTTACACAGTGAGAACTGATTAACTCTCTAGACTGTGTACAAACTCTTTTCATACAAACTCTGGGACTAAGTATATTCTAAATCAGGAAAATCCCATTCTAGGATGGTGCTGGGGAAAAAATGAAAGGGGAGGAAAGAGGGTGGATTAATCATATAGCAGACTTCTCACTTCAGACTTCTAAGGTTATATCATTCATGAAAAAAAAAAAAGCCATTATCTACATCTTTAGGTATTATTCAGGACTAATTAAATCAGTCCAGGAAGGGTCTATAAACAGGGTTCATCTCATGTCAGAGCAGTCAGGAACAAAGTCTCTTTGTGGCACACATCTATGGATCTTTGTAAGTCTATTAGGGTGGGTTTTGTTCCCACATTTCTTTTCACAGAAAATTAGTCCTGACTAGATCAACCCAAATGATTAATCAATCTCCTTCTCTGACTGTTTTCAATTTTATGTGATTTTCCTGAGGCTGGGATCACTCATTCTGAAAATTGCCTAAGCATCTTGTGGACCACCTCAATCATTTGCTGTCTAAGGAAAACATTCATCAGCAGTCCTCAAAGGGGAGAAAAAATGAAGAGACAGTTCTGAGTTCACCAAGAGTTTGGAACAAGAAACATTTCACAAATATACAAAATTTTTTGTCACTGCTGGAGGTCTGAATCCATGGGGAGCTGCGTACCTTTGGCAAACCTAAAATCTGACTCTCATAAGATACCAAGTTCCCAATACACTGCTCCCAGTGAATGTCTGCATGCTTGGTTATGAGGGTGACCCATACACAACAGAAGGGCTTAAGGGAAGCTATTAAGCGAGGAGGGAAAATTCAGTGCTTTCTAGTATTCTGAAGCAGTGGCTTCTGAGCTGGTCTGCTCCACCAGGATTTCCCTCAGGAACTCTATTGCACATGGCCCCAGCCGGCACAGTGCTTCCTGACTAAGGGCTGGAGGTCTTTCAGGGCCCTCTGACACAGAATGCCTTCAGGTCTCATGAGTTTTGCCAGTATTACATAAGTATTTTTCCTCTTGATAATTTCTTACTGCTGTGCATCCTTAAGTCTCATGGATCTTTCCTAATTTTTATAAAATATATACCTAAACAAATTCCACAGGTCTACAGTTGATTTCTAGAAATCAATGAACAAGCTGGCAACTTTCCTTGAAGTATAGATGATGTTCTCCGTAGCAGCTGAGTTTTTTTTATGCTTGCCTAGTACACTGAGAGTGACGTTTAAACAAAGCAGTTTTTACTTCTGCTTAAAAAGACACTCACATGATCAAACTCTTCTAAAATGAATATATGGTTTTACTGAAACTCACTGAAGCTAAAGATAATTATCATTCCATAGAACACAGAGTGACAATAACCATGTTTTTGTAAAACTGTCAAAGTGCTATTTATACAACTGGACACAGCTGAATTTAGTCAAACACTGTCAGGTACAAAATCCTCCAAAATGTCAAAAATCCATTGAACTATGCTTCTGTATTTACACCTGCCTAGGATCTGCACACTGTATCTACAAGTTTATTCATGCGGATGCATTGCTGCCTCATGGAAAAATTTGTGGAAAAAAAAGGTTTTAGTTATAGACAGTTTTGTCAGCTATCATATTTTTACTTTTTTTCTCATTCTTCACGTCTAGCAGTAGTTGCTTAAAAATGGTATCAGGTTTTTCAGTTGTAATTGTACTCTACCTGTGACAGCTTGGTTATGGTTTTCAATGTTTCAGTGAGGTATCTGCAGGTTTCAGAAGAGAAATGAAGCTACACTTTTATGGTAGATATTACTATGTCTTCCTGAGTATTTAAAAAACTGTATTATAACAAGATAAAATCTACTTGTGTAACCAGCCCATGTCTTATTTTGGTGCTGGACTCATGTAAACTTGTCAGGAGTTCAAGAAGAAACAATGACAACATCACGTGCATGTCTTCCTTGTGTACTCACCTATATCTAGAAAAAAACATCAGACAGCGAAATCCAAAGATGAATTCTCTAATTTTTTCCCATTACCACTACAGCAAAAATATTCAGCAGTGCAAGTTCTCCGCCAGTCTAACTTTGCCCTAGATAGGCAATGCCTCATGACAGACCTATGTCTAATAATGAAAATAACTTCAATAACCTACCCATTCATTCGCCTCCTTCCTCCTCAGACTGACAATACAATTTCCAGTCTTGTACTTTCTAAGACTTGTAAACCTGTCAGTATGAACAAATACTACACGCAATCTTTCAGGTGCTAACAACTAAGCAGATGATAACTTTTGTTGTATTAAGAAATTGTTCATTTGGATCTCAAATTCCAATTGCAACTACTTTAATCATCTTGAAACTATCCAACAGGAGAACTTTCATTCATTTGCCTGCAAAGAAGATATTTCTGTATTTCTACCAAGAGAATTTTTCTCCTCAGGTGGACTACCTTGATGTCATATTCACAAAGAAGATTTTGGGATGAGTGAACTGGGGAATTTTACTTCAAAGTTCCTCTAAATCTTCCTCTGAAAACTAAACAGAAATGTTCTTGAAATGTTTTTAAATGAACATTGACAAGCACCTTCTCTAAATACAGACACATTATCAGACATTCTTCCTTGCACTACTCTTTTAATTTGTATAATACTTAATGGATGGCATATTTCATTCCACAGGTTCACAATGTTAAAAATGTGCTATTGCTTCTAGTTTTAGTATACCACAAAGCCAGTGATAGCTACAGGCACTATGAGCAATATACGACTGAAGAAAAATGAGATTACTATTGATAAGAAACAAGAGCATTTCATATCTTAAAAGAGTAAGAAATACAGTAAATATGATCCCCAGAAGCAGATACCCCTCAGACAGACAACAAAAGAAAAATGGAGGAAAAGTATCATTATGGCTTGCTGTTTCCTTCAGCTAGAACAGCAGTGAAATTAAATAGCTCTAGCAAACAGTCCGCATGGAGAAGCCTACATCTCTGAGAAAACATATAACCTAAAGACAACTAACAGTCTACCTAAATGAGTAGTAATTTTCCTCGAGGGAAAAAGTGATTTTACTGTGACTCACATACTTTGAGAAAATGTACCTTTACTGTGGAAGTGCTGCTCTTTTGAGGGTCTTCATGCTATAATCAATGTTTACTGTAATAACGATCAATTTAATGGATGTGTAGAACTACTACCAAACCTTAGGCTGGAAATAACGCACTAATGATTCTTTAACAAAAGAGTTGAAATATACGCAAACATGAAACGGTTCCTTCCTCTGACTGTTAATGTGTCTTTGCTACATGAAAGAATATAATTTAAAAATGTCAGTATTTCATGCTACAATGCAACCCTTACCTTATATCCTGACGATTTGATGTGCACTCCTCTCTTGGTCAGTGTAGATTTCATTCGGATGAAAAAAGAGCGCTCTAGAGTGTTGTCAGTGGTTAGTAAACTGGGGCTTGTAGATTCCACTAGGGAATAGAAAAAATACATATATACATAATTTAGATTTTATACATCCCTTCTAAGCTACTTTTCAGGTGCAATCCTTGAACTCACTAAAAATAAATGACTGATGGTTGCTAAGAGTGCTGTAATCAATTTACCTCGTTTAGAAAATGTTTACTTAGCAAAAAAAAAAAAAAAAAAATTGAAAAATATATGTATACTCAGTAAGTCTCATTTTCAAGTTCTTTTCCCCATAGATTTTTTTTTTTTTTCCCAGAGATTTGCCTCATTAACTCTTTCTTGCACAGTTTTGCTATGATTGCATTTCATAGAATCACTGAATGGCTTAGGCTGGAAGGGACCTTAAAGTCACTGTTTCCAACTCCCTGCTGTGGACAGGGTTGTCACCAAGAGGATCCAGAGTCCCCATCCAACCCTCCAGGGATGGTGCATCCACAGCTTCTCTGGGCAACCTGTTCACTGCCTCACTGCCCCCTGAGTAAGGAATTTCCTCCAAGCTGGATGCTTGCATCTAAAGCTCTCGTAATTAAAAACATAATCTATCACTATCAGATCATGTAAAAATAAGTCCCCCTCCTGCTTATAACATCCCTTCAGGAATGGGAAGGCCACAACGATTCTCCCTGGAGCCTTTTCTTCTCCAGGCTAAGCAAGCCCAGCTCCCTCAACATTTCTTCATGAGAGGAGCTCCAGCCCTCTGAACATCTTCGTGGCATTTTAAAAGTAGTGGACTTCTTCAGTGTTTTATGAAGAAGAAAGGGTCACCAAGGAAGCAATTCTGTTTGCTGAAAGAGGCAGCAAATTCTACATACTTTTATTCCCAAGATTCTTTTTCTTTCTTTCCTCGGATAACAATTGCTGTTCGTGAATGCCCTGATTTCTCCGTTACTGAGGGTTAATTATTATCAATAAAGAAATAAAGCAACTTAAAGTAAAACATGCCCATGTGACTGAGGCATTATTATTATTACCATTATTGATAATAATCATAATTTATTTGTTGGTGACTAACTAGTAATGAACGATGTTTTTCAGCTTTTCCTTTAAGTGGTGGATCTCACCTTTGACTGTCACTTCCTCAACTGCAACCATTTAAAAATAGTAAATAAATACTCTTAGTATAAATTATGATAAACTATTGGTTACAACAATAATTAGCAACAAAATATTCTCTACACAATCTTTATTCTTGCTGTTTTTCACCCTGATAACCAACAGTTCCCTACCTCTTCCCAAAATATTGTGTATGGGAAAATTCTGGAATAGACTTACAATAAGTAAGCACTAATAGAGCTTAATTCACATTCAGTTTCAATCAGTAATTAACACTGAATAAAAAGTTATTTTGAAATTGTGAAATTATTCTGCTACTGTTCTAAAGAACCAACCAAATTACTAATGGAAAGTTTTAAAGTATTTGACAAGCATGTTATGCAGTGAACAGAAACACCAAAACTTGTTTGTGAGCTATGGATTTTATCAAAATGTCCTTATTTTATTGTGGTCACATTGTCTTCTGTTTCAGACATTTCAGCTCAATTGTGTTGAAATAACAGACAACAGTGTTCCTTTCTTTCGTGTTTCAAGATTATTTTTTTTTTGTTTTAGAGAGCATGGATTCGATGTCATTTTAAATGTACAGCTCTTTATCACTCGAGGGAAAAGCAGAGCCATGTTATATTTAGTACTTTCATTTCTTCTGATTAAATATGAATTACTATGAAATTTTTCTCATCATCTAACACGCCATAATACGCCAACAGCTTTTTAATACACTATATAAGCACAAACTTCTGCTCTAAGAGTTTAATTTGCCCCTCTAATCCAATCACATCAACCTTATTTCTCTTATCAGAGATTCCCATTTTGAATTAAATGAGCTCATTAGTTTTAATCAAAAGCAGAGAGATCAAAACTTAAACGTAAATGCTTTAGATCAGAACTGTCAGTCAGCCGTGCAGTTCTATTTTACTAAAACACAAGATCAGAGACCCTTAGAACCAATTTTTTCTCGTAAGGGATGCCAAGAGCTTGAAGATGCTATATCCTTTTTTTTTTTTTTTTTTTCCCTTTTCTTCCAAGGACAGATTATACATTTAAGGTTAGACTTAATTTAGTGTTTTTTTTTTTTTTTTCTTTTTTTTCTTTTTTTTCCCACCCTGGTGGAAATGGAAAAGTATGCCATTCTGCTCTTGTCTCCTTCACATTTATTGGTGCTGGTCCTTGGAGACCTGAACAAACGTGAAGCCATCAGAATCCATGCAACAAGCCTGTCCTTAAAAAAAAATTCAGCTCTGTTCAGCAATATCATCTGAGAAATGAAACCCTGAAAAGAAAGATATATGTTTCAGTGTACAGGATAGTGGAACTCTGAAACCATAACCTGGGTCATCAGGTTGGTAGCAGTACTGGTAAGATGAGGATTGTTATTAATTATTATTATTATACAGTACTCTCCAGTACAGTACTGAAAGAGTATATTAAGAAACCACAGCATGGTTGCTTCCTGCTGTGTGAAGAAATGCTAAAATCAGTTAACAAGTGTAGTTGTTGTAGTCCAGCACATTATGCTCCAGCACAGGCAATAAGTACTATATGTCCTTCTGTGTTCTAATGGTGATTACCTAAGCACACAGAAGTAACATTAATTAAACAGGCAATATCTCATGCTTGAGAAATGATCTGGTTGTAATACATATGTATGATTCCCAAGAAATATAAATTTAAAATTCCCTTTCTTTTACAGATTCAAGAAAGGAAGGAAAATAGCTGAGATCTGGTGTTGTGTAGATGCAATTGACATTTTCGGGGTTAATGCTACCTTATATCATGAGCTTAACATTATTTTACTATTGCTATAATATGTACAAAACTTACGTATCTCTGTAAGTGAATGTTATAAAATGCATATAATTTATCCACATACTGGAACAGTGAATGTCATATAAATACAAATTCTAAAGTGTTTGATTTTCTTTAACAAAATGTACCTCAGAGTGTATCTGTGAGATGGGATTAGTTACCTAAAAGTCCAGAACAGCTTATGACCAGCTTTCTGAATTTCTCTCAGGAGAGAACCATTGTGGTTGTAGTACAAATCTACATTCAGAGTTGCATCCACCCACGTTAGAAACAATGCTAACTGTAATTATGCATGCAGGATTTTAAAAACAGGATGTGTACAGAAGATATTTATTGATGTCAGTGAGATTTGCACAGGATTACATTGAATGTGGTCCATTATAAGTTCTCAGGAGTTGATTTCAAATGCCTATTATTCAGCCTTTTCATTTTTTTCCAATTATGTGAAAGAAGGCTAGTAATTGGAGGACTGAAACTCTGTAACAATTCTTTGTTTCAGGAGTTTTTGTTGTTGTTGTTTAAAAACTGTAATCTTAGACATTAAAAAAAAACCTGAAGTAAACAGGGTAAACTCTGCTTGATACTGTAGCAACTAAAGATGTCTCTAGGACTGAAAAACAGTGCTCCTGGGCTGAATTTACTGAGTCTAAACCTACTGTTGAGCCATAAAACTCTGAAACTGTGAGTTTGGAATGCTAATAATATGATAAAAGTCAACACTCACTGTGTGTGAATGAAAGCACTATACACTGTCAGGCTCAGAAGTATAAAAAGTTAAGTCTGGATTGTCTTTGCAAACAGTAATTGTGTACTCTGTTGGGAAAGCATTTGTCTTTGTGTGTCCTCAAATATCTTCAGCAGGTACTACTAAAGGAATAAACCTCTTTTCTTTCCACTCCCAAAGCTGCTAAAGCAGTGTAAGATTTCTGGACACAAAGAATGTATTGTTGATTTTGAAGGGCATGAAGCTGCAACCCCTATGTGCATACAAAAATGCCATGAATGTTAAAATATTAATTAAGAACCACAGAGCCACATGAGGAGATAGTATGAACTAGCAGCCAATTCAAAAAAATTATTTACTTATCTCTTCCTAAGCATTTCTTTGTGAGTTAGCCCTGAGCCTTCAATGGGCTTTGTCTTGAGAATAAACTTGGGCCTGGACCCCACAAACCGGTCATGCATCATTTAACTTTACATGCTAGAAGAGTTCTGACATTGGTGTAATGTGCACTGATAGATAAACATGTAGTCATTATTTGGAGGACTGAGGTCCATGGCTGTGATCTTACATTGATCTGCAGATGTATTCCAGCATCTCCGTGCAGCCTAGCCTTATAAAACAAAACAATGTAAAACAATGCAAATAATTACTATTACACAGCAATAGCATGAGTATCATTTCCATGACTGATTCACAAGCACACTCAAGTTCAGATAAACAATTTTTCCCTGAAGAAAGAAATCGTTCCAGGTTTGATGTATGTCTTAAATAACAAAATGCTGTCAAAGCAAACTGAATAAATATTCTCCAACTTTGTGTTTTTTTTTCCCCCTCAAATGTATTAAAAATAATTGAGAGGAGAAAAACAGCATTTTTTACATACCAAACAGATATAAGATAGGCTTCTCATTCTGAGAAGGACTAGAAGGAAAACGATATATCAACAAGTAATTTGTGAGGTCAGGAGGGAAAAAAGGTTGTGGTTTAACATGCAGGAAATTCTGGTTTTGTTAGCATTTAAGGAAGTTTTTCTTTGGTATTAATTCCTCTTTGTTAAAAACAAGTGTCTATGTAGTTTTTAGGAGACATTTTCAAATTCCATCTATACAGTTCTTAAAACAGAAATGAAATAAGAGAGCATGCAAAACAGTTATAAAAAGGGAGCTCTCTTCTCATTTCATCTTCTACACTTGCAAACCTCTTCACACATTTTTTTTTAAGGTCTGATATTTCTTTGCATAGGCAACTGAGAATCCTCATATTCAAATGAATAATTAAGTAATATAAATCTATGGTTTTCAGTTAGACTAGATGCATCTTTGCAAATGCTTGTATTTCTTTTGTGCAGTTTATTGCCCGTAACTTAAAAGCTAAAAAACTTTCCAGAAAAGTGTAACTGTTAACAGTTAACTGTTC